TTTCAAGTGAAGGCAGCCACGGTCAAGCAGGACCTTTGACTTACCTTCACATAGATGGAACTGGTAAAAGAAAGGAGCCAGGAGCTCCTCCCAAGCCCATGTGACCCCTGAGGAACAGATCCTCAAATGACCTTAAGAGTAAAAATAAATTGGTTTATTTGGGACAACTGTATGGTCTTAAACACCCAAAAGGAAAATATAACCAAAGATTAAAGTGATTAGTATATTTCTTTAAGAGTTCAAGGGATTACACTTCCCCTACATTAGGCTTAAGTCCATATAAAATGTTATTTAGACAATCACTTCTCATTGATGATTTTGCTTCTAAGCAGAAAGTACTGCCAGATGTAAGACTTTAAATCTGCAATACTGTAGTGCCCACCTGTAGCTAAGGGAGAAAACCCACTATTCTAAAATTACAGCTAAATTTGTTTTCTCCCCTTTTCTAGAAGCCTTTGAGCGGGAACTGGCACTGATTCTAGCCACTTCAATAATTATCAAAGTGCCTGAAAACAAATCCTGAGTCCATCACTCTTGAGTCCAGCCTTGGCAGACAAAATGAGGAGGAACCCAATATAGGGATGCTTTTGGAAGCTCTCGTCAAGAAATTCCAATGGACTCTGATATGAGAATTTGAAATTTTCCCTCTTCTGACTTTTTTCTGGTTCCTTTCTAGAACTTGTAATGCTAACTACTCTTGCCTTTACTTCTTCTTCACATTGCCTATTCACCAGTCAAGGACTTTCTTTTCTCCCTATAGATGAGAGTTATGCAATTTGGGAGTCTTTTAGATAGACCCACTGAAGGGGTACCCCAATTGCCTTACCCTGTGTCCCTGTTCAGCATGGAAGAAGCCAGAGCAGTCTGTGTTCTGATTACCTATCGGCAATTTGAGGAACCTCTTCAGAGGATGGTGTGATAAGAATAGGAGGTAGGAATTTCTGGGTAAAAAGACCCCAAAGAAAACTAGCCACTTTCTTAGCTAAAAGTCAAAATGCCCTTGGGCCCCTTAGCAACATACTTTGTTCCAAAGGCCAAAAATGTCGAAAGTATTTGGGAGCTTTTATCTAATCCCTAAGAGATGTTAGGGTTATATCTCCAGAGCGGGTAATGTTAGAGTAGCAAAAAAGGCCTATTTAAAAAAAAAAAAGAGCTCTCCCTGACCCGCAGGCCTCTCTCCGGGATAAGTCCATCGTACCCTCCGCACCTTGAATTCCCCAGCCTCATTCACCCTCCCATCTCCCCTGCCAGTCTCACCTCCTAGCCTGGGTCCTGTCCCATTCCTTTTCTTGGGGCCCCAGACACCTGGGGAACCAATCTGCTTCCTGATCCTTTTCATCCAGACCAACTTAGCGCCTTCTCTGGTCCCAAGGAGCACTGCTTCTGAGCCTGGCCTGGCCGTCACCTCCCTCTGCCTCCCTGGGCCTGCAGGACCCACAGGCCTCTCTCCAACCCGCAGGCCTCTCTCTGGGGTAAGTCCTCCGGGCCCTCCACGCCTTGACTCCCACAGCCTTTTCTAAGGTTAAAAACTCATTCAGTTTCATGTCTTACCGGGTTTATACTGAGTTCAATATTGTATAACTGTATTAATTCAACTGTGAACCTAAAATTTTTATAGCCACTTTTGAAAGAGATGTATCTTTGCTCTGGAAACGGTTATTGAGTACATTAAAGCTGTAATGACATGCTGATTGTAAAAAGTAAAGAAAAAAAAGATGCATTTTTTATTTATATATGTGTGTTTGCCCACATGTATGTATATGCACCACATGCCTACTTCATGGCTACTGAGGGAAAAAGGTGGCAGATCACTTAGATCTGGAGGTGCACGATGGTGATCCACCATGTGGTTGCTGGGCACAGAACGCAGTTCCTCTGCAAAAGCAGCAAGTGCCTTAACCCCTAGCGATTTTTCCAGCCCGATGTTTGGTGTTTTACAAAGAGGGTGACTGTCTAGCTTCAATCCTTCTCTTGACCATGTGGACAAAGGAAACATTGTTGCAGGTGAGAGCAGGAGAGCAGCCCTCCTAGCCCTGAATCTGCTGGGGCCTCAATTTTAACTTCTCAGCCTACAGAAGCATAAGTTAGCAATTTCAGGAATTTTACAATTACCAAACTAAGGCATTTTGTGAAGATCAGGAAGGGAACAAGATCGCTGGATATGGCTCCATAACACATGTAGGACAAGGGTGCTTTTCTGTCTAGAGAATTATAGTTGATAGGGTTTTCTTTTCATGATCATTTTGAACATATTAACCCAGTCTCTCATGAGAACCTGGGTTCTAGATGAGAAGTCTCATGGATGTTTAATGGAGATCATCATGTCATGAATGGCACTTTCTTCCTTTCAGACCCAAAGTGTAAGTCACATGCCCTGGAGGTACCTGGGAAACAGATCATTTTGTCACAGCATCTCAATGTTTTAACGATCACCATCTATTTCTTCATCAGCTACAGCTCAATAGACAGGAATCAAATATGTTCAGAGTGGACATGACAAATTCATCCACTAAGGTGTAAATATCAGTGTCATAACCCAGTGATGGATGACGTTCTTGAGCCTGTAGTTCTTTTTACTCTTCTATTACCATGAAAGTGCAAATGTTCATTGATATGATTTGGATCTCAGTGCCCAGAAGATCATATGTTTGAATCTAGGTCCCCAGCAGGTGGTACTCTTGTAGAATTCTGTGGACCCTTGGGCAGTGAGGTTAGCAGGAAGAAGTGGGTCACAGGGGGACAAGGGGTACTGCCCACTCACTCCAACTGGCCTGCCCAAGTTTCTACTGAGCCGGTGATCAGCCTCTCCCTCCACTATGCCTTCCCTGTCCTTATGAACAGGAAGTGAGGAAAACCCTGTACTGAGCCCTGATTGGTCCATTCTTGCTCTGACCTCACAATGAGCCACCGTGAGGATGCAGAGTCAGTTGCCCACAGTCAGTTGCACTGTGGAGACAGGTCTCTGTCCTCACAGTGAGGAAACTCTCTGCTGGTGGGAGAGCTGTTGGATCTTCGCACCAGGAGCTGTTAATTCGGATTTTGTGAACTGTTGGTCCTCCAAGTAGTGAGTTTCCTTCCCAGTTTGCTGGTTCTGGTTTTGTGGATTTCCTGTGTATTATTTATTGTAGGTTTTGGGTATGATGAGTGCTTCTATTCGTTTTTACAACTGAAAATTTAATTTTATGTGCATAATTGTTATTTTCTGCACACATGTAAGCTGTAGACATGCACGCAATGCCTGCAGAGGTCAGAAGAGGGAGTCATATCCCTGGAACCAGAGCTTTGGATGGTTATCAGCCACTTTGTATGTTTTGGGACTGAACCCAGGTCCTCTGCAAGAGCAGCCGGTGCTCTTAAAAATGGCCGAGCCACCTCTCCAGCCCCTTATTTACCTTGGCATCTCACCTATGTCCCTAACCACCCTATTTTGTGAGTCCACCCTCTTGCTGTACATAGGCCATATCATGTGGTTAAAATTAACCACATGATATGGCCTAAGAAACCATTTGGGATTATCTCTTAAGGAAGGGGACTGCTGTGTGTATTTGTGAGTTAGGCCTCCAGAAGCCCTGCTAACTTCACCTTCTGTCCATCTGTTTACAACTGGCCTTTCATGTCCTATTCTCTGGGGCAATTATGAAGCGCTCCCATTCTTTCAAGTTAGTGAGGCCGCAGGGGCACTGCAGGTGGGGCTGATAATGTAATGAAGCAAAGGATCAAACCTGTGCCCTCAGTTCTGCTGGCTAAAGAGGTCAAAGAACAGGTCAAGGAACAATTCTTGCCAAGTACTGGAATCATCCATCCATGGCTCCATAGACACTGAGGTCTCTCCCTGAGGAATATGCAGAGAAATTTTATTCACAAGGACAGTATATACCCAAGTTTCCCAAGCATACACTTCAAAGACTTCAATAAATCTCCTCTAACAACCTTAGTCTTGTGGTTTGTTCTGGGAGAGACAGTGGCACATGCCTTTAATCCCAGCACCCAGGAGGCAGAGGCAGGTGGCTCTCTGAGATGGAGGCCAGCTATGTTCTACACAGCAAGTTCTAGGCCAGCTGGGGCTACCGGGAGACCTTGTCTCAAAAAGGCCAAAAGTGCCTTGGGAAGCAAAGGATGTACTAGGCTTACCGCTTACAGTCCATCATCAAGGGAAGCCAAGGCAGGAGCTCAGGGCTTGAACCTGGAGGCAGCAGCTAGAGCACAGACCACAGTGCAAAGCTGCTTACTGGCTTGCTCCTCTGAACTGTGCTCAGTCTGCTTTCTTATATAACCCAGGGCCACCTGCCACCTCTTCCTAGGTGTTTCAAGTTGACAACACAAACTAACCAGGACAGTGGCCTCACTTAAGTCTTGATAGGTAATCAAGTTAGTACTGGTTTTCAGAACGAATCTGGAATGGTTCCTTCCCTGTCTGTTTTATGGCATACTTGGAGGACATCAATATTTGTTCTTTAAACATCTGGTAGAATTAGTAAGTGTCTCAATATGGTTGTGAGCTTTCCTGTGTTCAGATTCTTATTAAGGCTTCAAAATTGTTTCTTATTATTGATCTTTTTGGTGTTTCATAAGCTCTCGGTTCAGTTTTGAAAGTCATGTACTAACAGAAGTCTGTCCAATAATTGCAGAATTTCCTCTTCACTCAGAGGCTACTTTTCAAACTATTTCCTAGTGACTCTCCGGGTTTCGACGGCATCAGTTGTAACGTCAGCTTCTTCTGAGTCTGATATTATTTGGGCTTCTCTCAGCGTTATGTGAGGCGAGGGTTTGCCACGTCCACAATCTTTCCGATAACCAACTTTCTGTTCCTGTGCCCTTTGTTTTCTACTTTCAGTTGTCTACTCATTACCAACTTCCAGATCTCTGTTCTGTGTCACTGTCTCCTGTCTGGGAGTTGTTTGGTCTCAGCCTCCAGGGCCTTTGAGGTGCTTCAGGAGGCGGTGTGAGATGTGTCTGATTTTTGATGTTGAAAAAAAAGACCAAAAAAATAGGCATGCCCTTAATATTTTGTTTGTTTGTTTGTTTTCAAATTCTACAGGTGAGGTTGTTTCTAACCGATCATGGAGGACCTGACCACGGAGCAGGACACAAAGGCCTGCTCTCCTGCTCTTAAAACCTTCTACCAAAACTACAGAATGATGATGACCCTCGGCAGAGGAAGTTACGGAGAAGTCAAACTTGCCTGCCACATTCCCACAGTCAACTGTGTTGCCATTAAAATCCTTAAAAAGAACGAGGAGACTGCCCCCTTTATGGCCAATGAGATCAATATTATGAAAGACCTACGCCATCCTAACATCATTAGGCTCTTTCACGTGGTAGAAATGAGAGACATCACCTACCTGGTAATGGAGCTTGCTTCAGAGGGAGAGCTGACCGACCACATCCTCGAATGGGGCTCTCTACCGGACCAGGAGACCTGAAGGTAGTTTAGCCAGATACTACATGCGGTACAGTACTGCCACAGCAACAGCATTGTCCACAGGGATATAAAGGTCAACAACATCCTGGTCGATGGCAGGGGAAATGCCAAGTTGAGCGATTTCGGCCTGGCAGTTAAACTCCAACCCGGGGAGAAGATAGTGCATTTTTGTGGCACCTGGCCCTACTGTGCCCCCGAGGTCTTTGGCACAGAGCCGTACGATGGCTATCCCACAGACATCTGGAGCCTGGGAGTGCTCCTCTTCGTTATGGTCTCCGGAAAATTCCCATTCGAAGATCCTTATGATGCAGAAGCACGACGGAAGATCCGGGCTGCCGACTTCACCATTCCCAGTCACGTCTCCCTTGACATTTCCGATGTCATCGCTGAACTGCTGGACACACACCCTGGCAGAAGGCCCACTGTCGACCAAATCGTGGAGCGCCCGATGGTCAGGGATGGCGAGGCATGTTCACCAGCAAGTTCCAGACAGACTCTGGAAGGCCCATCCGGCCCAAGCATTGTCAGGGCCATGAAGATCATGGGGTATGAACCTGAGGAAATCAGCCAGTCTCTGAAATACCAGAAATACGACCATGTCATGGCAACATACATGATTCTGCAGCACCAGGCACCCTGGGGAGACTGGCATGACCATCAGGGAAAGAAAGTTCTGGCAGGCAGGTGTTTCTGTCACCCTGGCAGATCCTCACGTATTCCCTGTGCCCGAAAGAGAGCTTCTGAGCCTGTTTTACCCACCTTCGACACCCCACCTGCGCCCCAGGAGGAGGAGGAGGATGAAAAGATCTCCAAACAGGGTGGCAGAAGGCATAGCATGCCTGCCATCCTGTGCTGTCAACACAAGACGCCCCACCTCCAATACCTATCCAGTCAGGATTCTGATGTGGACAGTTCCCCTTTCAGCAGCAGCAGTCGAGGAGACAGTGACGACTATTCCAGGATGGTGCCCTATGGCTGCCTGGCTGTAGATGAGGTGGAGGATGAGGTGGAGGTAGAGGAAGAGGAGGAGGAGGAGGCAGAGGAGGCGGAGGAGGAGGAGGTGGAGATGGCGGAGGAAGAGGAGGAGGAGGAGGCAGAGGAGGTGGAGGAGGAGGAGGTGGAGATGGCGGAGGAAGAGGAGGAGGAGGAGGAGGAAGAGGTAGTGGTGGTGGTGGAGGAGGAGGAGGAGGAGGAGGAGAAGGAGGTGGGAAATGAGGTGGAGGACGAGTTAGAAGAGGTGGAGGAAGAGAAGGTGGAGGAGGTGGTGCAGGTGGTGGTGGAGGAGGAGGAGGAAGAAGTGGTGGAGGAGGTGGAGGAGGAGGAGGAGGAGGAGGAAAAGATCTCCAAACTGGGTGGTAGAAGGCATAGCACGCCTGCCATCCTGTGCTGCCAACCCAAGAGGGCCCGACCCCGACACCTCACCAGTCAGGGTTCTGATGTGGAAGGTTCCCTTCTCACCAGCAGTCTTGACATCAGTGCCAATTATTCCAAGATGGTGCTCTATGGCAGCTCTATGGCTATACACAGTCAGCCATCCTCTTCTCTGGGGCCACACCAGGGTGTGACTGACAATGACACAGATGAGGGCACATCCTGCTGCTTGTCCTCATTGGAAACTAGTATCTCCTGGGATGTGTCCCAGCATGTCACCCCGAGAGTTTCCTCTGCCGACGATGTCTCATCATCAGAAGATGACAGCACTGCTGGCCAGCCTCAGCGTGCCACCACATCTTCCCCTCGAAGCCGTCACCTGGGTGGGAAGGGTGTGAAGAAGACAATGATGAATTGTCTCAGATGCCTCTGTTGCTGCCTGCCGCCCAGAAGGAGACGCTCCACCTCTGCTAACAACCAGGCTCCAAGGGACCATGGGGTCAGCCACAGAAGCAGGTAGGTGGGTGGTCAGGATGCACTGGTGCTCTTCATTCCAGCCCTGCTTTTCCTAACGTCCTGTGCAAGTGACCGATGGTCACTGTGCTTACTCTGAGCATGTGTGTCACTTAGCACATCTTTTGCCTCAGATGACCATTCCCACAGAGTGCCCCCAAGTGGAACCTGGGGAATTTGCCCTAGTAGTACACAGTAGAGAATGTTGTCCAGAGGCATGCAGGGATGGAGGACTGGTTTGCCAAAGGGAGCCAAGATTCTCTGGCGAACCATTTGGGGAATTGTGAGGCAACAGGCCATCCTCAATATTCAAAGTTACTGAGAGCCTCCTTCCTTTGTCTTTCTGCTTTGAAGTGCTGAAGGGGAAAATCCCCAGTTCCATGGCTCCTGAGCCATGGGATGGGGTAGGCCTGGCGGAGAAGTGAACAGCCACAGGAGGAAGCCAGGCCGGATGTCCAAGCGGCTGGGAGGCCACACCAGGACAGGCAGGAGGCCTTTGACCTGTACAGGAATCATGGGACACACCACTGCACACCTATACAGGTAAAATTCCAAGCTGGAGGTTCTGGCTTTCAGAAGGCCTTTGATCAGGGGAAGGCCCTGAGCTGCCCTGGGATGAGAAGGTCCTGTTCTCACTCCTGGCTCAACATCAGCATCTGTGAAGTCATGGCTATCCTTCCCTATGTGTTTCTTAGTGGGGAACAGGGTCTTCCTCAGGTGCAATGACTATCCCCAGGCAGGTAATTCAGAGTCAGCCACATCCACATGCCTTGCCACAGGATGGCTCCCAGCTTTGAGGTTACAGTCTCCAAGCAGCCCTGTGGGAGTCCTCTGAAGGACAGCCCCCTCTTTCATTTCAAAGACCTGGAAAGATGCATGGCTGCTTACAAGACAGGAGACCTCAGACCTCACACAGAAGGAAGCTTCAGAGAATCTCAGCTGGGCAGTGTCCTGAAGGAGAGCTGTGTCTCCTCCCTCTACCTGTTCCACTCTGTAAGTAGATACCTTCTCTCC